GCCCCGCCAGGTGTCCCATCCCCCCAGCCCCCCCTCCCCAGCCGCTTCTTCGCTGCTGCATCCCCTGCCATCAGCATCAAAAACTTCAGCCGGGGTAGCCAAGCCCACTCCCGTGTGTGGCGTCCCCAGACAGACGGTGGCTTCCCCTCCCCTTACCCCAAACGCTCTGAGGACTCCGAGTTGGTGGCCCGCATCAAGGAGGAAGAGACGGAGGATGAGGCGAGCCGGGCCAGTGAGCCCACCACGCCTGGCAGTCACCCGGGGCGTACCCGGCTGCCAGAGGCCTCCGAAACACAGAGGAAGGAGCTGTTGCTGATCCAGGTGAAGGCACCGTCCAGCGAGAGCATTGGGGCTGACGGGCCGGAGGCCTGGGAGCCCTGAGGCTGCCCCAAAAGCACCCCTTTCCTGGGGGCAGAATAGCTGCCCCCACCCCAAGGCAGCGCCACTGCCAGCCATGAAACTCCCTGTCCCCAGACACCCTCCTCGGACCCCCTGTCCAGAAGCAGGACATTGCCAGATCTTTTGCCACCCAGCTCCAAGCCAAGATGTGTCCCCAGGTTGATGGGAAGATCCTGGTGGGTTTGGGATTGGGCAGACAGCCTTCAACACTAGCTGTTAGCCCCAAAACTGCAGGATTCAGCCCATCTGTGTGATGATGCCGCCGACTTGCAGCTGGCCAGGCTCACTCCCTGGTCCCAAGGCCCAGAGCAGGGGACAGGGGACAGCCCAGACCCCAAGCAAGGGACAGGACGAGGGCATTAGTCTTGCAGAAAACCAACACCGTGATGGAGATGTCCCCTCGATATTAATAAAGCTATTGCCAACCTCAGCTTCGAGGTTCTTCTTTGTCGGTGCAAATCATCCCCAGCAGTGAGACAGCAGGGACGTCACATTTATCCAAAAAGCGGGTGAATTTGGATTTTGTCAAGGAGTGCACACGTTCTCCTGGGGCAAAAAGGGCACAGCCCCATGGACTGACACCGGTGACAGCTGTGGGGTATTAGACCAAGTGACACAGCCAGAAAAAAAACAGAAAGATGCTTTCAGCCCCTGTAGGATTCCTGCGCTCAGACGCGTCTGTTTCCCCTGAGAATATTAGCAGAGCTGTTAAAAAATTCCCTTTCCTGCAAGCCCCCCTTTCCCAAAGCTACCTTTCCTTTAAAGCTCCCGTCTCCCCCCAGCAAGCCAGCCCCGCTCCTCCTCCGCTACACTCCGGACCACTGCTGGACCTGTTAAAGTGTAACCACAAGGTCATTTTCTGGGTTGGACCATGTCCCGTGAAAATACCCCAAAGTTAATACGCGTGGAGCTGGGAGCCACTCAACAGCAAGGGGCAGCACTCAGGATGATGAGTGACCTCACTCGGGTTACGCTGCTGGCTGATCATTGTATGAAAAGTAGCTTTTTTTAAATTCAGCCCTCGCACCTATCTGCAGAAGTGGGTAAGATCCTTAGACCAGGCTTTGGCACCTCATAAACCCAGCCAGACTAAAGCTGTGCTTAACCCCAGCCCCTGCCCATCTCTTTCTGGCTCAGTGCACGGCAGGCTTGCCTCCTCCCAGGCAGGCAAATCCCGGTGCACATCCACGGGGCTATGCCAAGGCCAGACCAGGAACCGTACATCCTGCGGCCAAGCCGCACCGAGGTCCCACAGCCTGTGCCACCGTGGGAGCCAGGTGCCACTCGCCCCTGACCAGCGGCCAGCATCCCGTTCCCATGTCACACCTACAGCATGGCTCCGGCGGGCAATAGGTGCTGCTTTTATTCCCACGGGCCGTTGCCCTTGGCAGCTGTGTTTTTCAGAGCAATATAAGCAGCGTGCATTGATGAATTAGCCCTAATCCTGCTCATCAGGGGCCAGGTTTACAGCTCCGGCTCTGACACCCAAGTCGGCACTTGTTCCGTAAGCCTGTTTCTCCGTCTGTACAAAGTCCCCCAGAAACACCCTGAATCCTGTTTGCGCTCTGCAGAGGGCGAGGGAAGAAACACGCTCAGAGGAAGCAGCCGTGACGCAGCCCTCCCAAGCGCCCTTTATCGCCTCTGCCCCACCTCTCTGGAAAGCAGGCGTTGCTGGAGAGCAGGGAAAGTTTACCCCACATCACTATGGAGAAGGAATGTGTTTGTGCAAACGTCCCGCCCAGCCCAGGTCCCACTGCCAGGGACTGCAGAAGCGCGGCCAGTTGCACCCAGCCGGGCACGGCTCTCTTCGCAGCGCCCACCTGAGCGCAGACCCCAGCTGCAAGGCAGCGCCAACGCACGCCCACCACGGCGTAACCGCGCTCCTGCGGCCATCCAGGCAACAGGTACCGTTTTCCAGTGTGTCTCTCCGCCCGTGGCACAGACCCACCCTTGGACCCCTGCCAGCAAGGCAGGATGAACCCACGCTGCCCAGGGCACCTGAGCCCGCGAGCACCTCCTGCTGCCAGACAGGGCAGCCGGGGCAGAGCACGACAGGAAAAACTTAAAAATACCAAGCGCAAGCTCTTTGTGGGGCAGACAGCCTGCACTTTAAGGCACTAGAGACACGGGGCGCACCACAGCTCTGCTTGGGGCAAGCTAATCACAGACTACCTCCTTCAGTTCAGAGCTGAAAACTGTGAAGCTGGGGCTGTAGGTACTCTGCCTCGCACCAGAGCGCTCCCATGAATAAATGAGGCTTTTGTAAAAACATGTAAGCAGGGTGCAAAAACATGTAAAAACATGTAAAAACATGAAGCGTGCGGTGCAGGCACGAGACATGCAAGCCTGGCTCCCCCACAGCCCTGGGACCAGCCCTTAGACGGGCGCCTAACTTCACCCCCATACCTGCACAAAGCATTTGGCAACTAGGTGCAGAGATCCACCACACTGGCCTTTTATAAACGCAGGAGCCCCAAGGAATGCCACCACATGCCCCAAAACATCCGGAACGGCTTTTGTTCACCACAGCTTTCCAACCCCACCAGGAGTGACAAGGCAGAAAGCTGGAGTTTGTACCCAGCTTTCGAAAGGGACAGACCGTGACGAGAGCCTGGCCCTTCTGCTAGAAGGAATTTATCTTGCACTGGAATGAGACCAAGGAGGTAATGGAAGACCAGCTGGTCACTGAGCAGTGCGGCCAAGCTTGGTTAGAAGGTACCGGACCCTGAAGGCAATGGTGCAACCAGGCAGGGAGCACCAGGCAATGGCAAAAGGGGCTGCTGGCCCGGACCAGCGGATGCGAGCACGCGCGGTCTTGTCTCTGAAGAGACAAGTTTTCAGCCAGACTCAGCACAAACGCAGAGTCTAAGAAAAACAGCGCTGCAGCTGCAGAGCTGCTCCCTGGACACCCCTCTCCTGAGGCAGCGGGGCCCCTTTCCCCACTGACCTCACTCCAAGACCCCAAATGCGGCATGTGCTGACCTAACACACCACAGGAAAAGGGGGGGACGCGTGCCCAGCCAGACCCCGGCAGCTCCCAGAAAGCCAGAACTCTAGCAGGGATGGACATTTGCACCTTCCTCCTGCTTGCAGGTTTCCAGTACTGGAAATTTTCCACTTGAGCCAAGTCTGACAACTCTTTTGCACACCCACCTGGTCCACTAAGTCACTGTCCTAGAACCCAGGGAGGTGTTTTAGTCGAGAGCATGCAGGGTCAGAGCTGGCCTGACGACACAAAAGCGCTCAGGGATTCCAGGAGAGACCCTTCTTCCTTTCACACTTTACAGGCGGGAGGAGCTACACAAGCCCCCTCCACCCTGCACACACAAATGAGCACGCGACCCTTTACTGTAGCAGGCTCTTGGTTTTATTCGTTCTCTCAGCAGAATAGTTTTTATTCATTTGCCTTTTCTGGCCTTGATCTTCCTCAAGTAGAACTCCAATTCCTTGCCTTCCAACACGTAGCCATCGGCTCGGCCACACTGTCCAGGTCTGGAGGCAATGCAGGCTGCAAGGAGAAGTCACCCAGTTAAAGAAGTTTAGTAATTCACTACCCCAGTATGCACCCAAAGTGAAACAAACACTGCACGCGGTCTCTCCGCAGAAGCACGGACGAGCAAGTGATCAGTAACAGACACACCAGTTCATGTGCTGGCTTCAGTACCTCCCCCTAAGGTATCGTGCTCTTGAACCTGCTCTGCTGAACTGAGTCCCTAATGAAGTCCTCTTCAGATCTCCAAACTGTCATCGCTCAAGTTCAGTAGCAGAACTGGACAAAGGTCTCATCACCAGAAGACTTCAGAACACTGAACTATTCCCCAGAACTTGAAACTGGTCAGAGCTGTTGCACGTTCGCGGGACATGTTTCCGACAGACAGTGCAGCCCATGGGCCTTCGCTCATTTTCCAAGTCTCGAACCCCATCATTTCTCTCAAAGGCCAACCGGGAACGATCAACTCCAGAAGCCTGGCTGGGACACGTGCCAGTTCAAGCTCCAGAAATAGATTTCCCCTTCCTGCCAGAAGTGGGGTATCTCCGGAGACGACAGAAGAACAAGTTACATTTAAGACCCAGAAGATACTCCTGCAGATATGGAGACACCCCATCACTTTCACCCTGCAGTTAGCTTTACCACAGCGCGTAGAACTTGAAATGATCCCAAGACCAAGAATAAGATCTGCTCTGGCACCCTGTTTGTGCCCTGACTCCCTTATCCCCACCCACATTAGTGCTGCCAGGGACTCACCAAGTAGCTTTCCTTGCTGGAACTGCTCCTCAAGAATACTTGCTATCTTGGCATTCTTCTTTCGCTCGTCGTACTTTTTCTGGATCTTCTTTGAACGCTTCTTGTTCAAGATTTCCTCCTCTTCAGGAGTCTAAAAACAAGACCACAAGCGAAGACAAGGTTAAACATATGGCCACCTTCTGCTAGAGCAGGCTCCACTAACATCAAGGAGACCCTTGTATTCTCAGCACTGCACTGTCGTACCTGCCAGAGGTACAAATACTTCAACCTCACAGAATCAGGTGCTGTGTTTCACTTTCGAGGCCAAGAAATGCAATGTTGCTAAGTGGAGCCACTGCTGACAACAAAGCACGGCGCCCTAGGGAAGGGCGCTCTTAGACAAATGAAATTGCAAAGGCTTCCTTGACAAACTAATCCTCCTCCAAGAAGCGAATACT